CATCTCATGCCAGAAAGAATGGCTATCATAAAGAAATCCACTAACAACAAATGTTGGGAGAGGCTGTGGGGAAAAAAGAACACTTCTCCATTGCTTGTGGGAATGTAGACTGGTGCAACCATTATGGAAATTGGTGTGGAGACTCCTTAAAAAACTAGGACAGGAAATCTCATTCAAACCAGCTATCCCCCTATTGGGAAATTTCCCGAGGAACTGAAAATGTCATATCATAGTGATATATGTGCCCCTATTTTATATGTTTATAGCAGCACAATTTGTGATAGCTAAATCTTGGAAGCAACCAAGATGCCCATCACCTGAAGAATGGATGAAAAAGAGGTGGTACTGTTATATAATGGATTATTACTCAGGTATAAAGAATGATAAACTCCAAACCTTCATATTGAAGTGGATGCTACTTCAAGGTATACTCATAAGTGAAATAAACCAGACACACATATGTAAATATCGCATAGTCTCCTAGTGTAAGAACTGAAAAGAAATAAAGATAGAAAGGTATAACACAATTAAAAGGAAATTGAGAACTTAAGACTTAAACAATGAAGAGAGGGCAAGGAGAAAAGCTAGGAAACATGAGAGGGGCAAAATCATACATTTATATGCACAAGATGGTTAAGGCCATGATCCTGAGAATCTTCAGCAGATTTTTGAAACTAGCAGTTAAATGGTGGGGTTCTCACCCTGACTCACTATATATGATGATATCTGTGAACTAAAGAACTGCACCGAGGTTATCAATGTGGAATACTAGTGCCATGCTTGGAATGCTTGTCATTCTGGTCTTCTAAATATGTACTGCTTCTAAGGTCATATTAATTACTGCTATACTGTCTCTCAAGTAAATGTTTGTTTAAAACAAAAAAGGGTAACAAATGAAAGCAAGTGACAAGAAAAAAAAAGTCATAGGACTATCCTGCTAGAATGCTGTATATGATTAGATTTCTAAATTTCTGTGTAGAAATACGCAACTGTTTATTCCTTTTTTAAAATTTTTATTTTTTGTTATTTTCTTCACATTCTGTAGGGACTTAAAGTTTAACATATCAATACTTGAGGGAAAATACCTGTTCTATGTTATGCCTAATATGTTTGATATTCAGCAGATAGTGAGGATAAACTCACCTGCCTATGTTATAGGGTAATAATATCAATAAGCTTCTCTCCTGGAGGGTTAACAACTTAAGTATACAGAGCAAAAATGAGTAAAAGGAAGGGCTGCAAGGACAGCCAACATTTTAGCCCTAGCCATTCAAGGTCAGTGAAGACTCAGGACATAAGTGAACCTGTACTGTAACATCATGTAACTCAGTGGTGCCCAAATTTTCTGATCAAGGAGATTACGGGGCCAAGGTTGAAAGTGATCAATGATGTAGAGTATGCCTGAGGAGATTCACATGGAGAGGAAACAGTTTCTCAGGCTTTCACAGAGAGCAAATTGGTCAAGCAACGGCCGTGACCCATCCACATGGCTGACACTCACAAAGGATCTACAAACTGTGGTACAGGGTTTCAGGGTAAATCCTGAGGGGATATGACTGACCTTGTCAGATACAGAAGTTACATTTTTTGTTATATAGGTCTTGCTTTATCTTAGTCTTAACCATCCAGCAGAAAAGTATAAAAATGAGGTACATAAAATAAAGCCATATTAATATGTTGAGTTGTAAAAGGCTCAAGTCAACAACTTCTGACATTGCCAGTCCTACGGATAAGCCACTACTATTATGGACTACTGGACTATATTGGAATATTTTGCTGAATTCATGCACCTATAATATTTAAATAGAACATTTATCTCTAAGAAAACTAAACAAAAAAAGGGGATACAAATGAAGGACCACTTTGTATCTGTATATACAAAATAGTTAGGATAGACATAAGTTACTTTCTCTTAATTCAATGAGAAGAAAGATTTGTACTAATAGTGTTTGGATCGGATATCATGTCTGCATCTTGTACTTTGAACAACTACTACAAAGACAACAATATACAATGTATTAATTATTGTAACTGTCCTACTAACCAGTTTTGAACCTGTCTCATCACTATTTGTTTCTGAATAAAATTAATAAAAAAAAAGAAACTGACCATTAAATAGGGACCCAAATGTATATTATACATTGGGAAATGAAAACAAAATGTTAAAGTGGAAAAAGGAATGGGGAAAAGGGACAAGAAAAAGAAAATAATGGAAAAATAATAGAAAAAAATCAAATAAAGAGGGTTGAGAGATCCAAAGGAGAAGAGGGGAATGGGAAATAAAGATGAAGCAAGATATACCATGTATAGGTACAAATTCCCTGTAATGAATACTATCATTATGCATATCTAAAATGTATCAGCTGGGTATGGTGGCACAAAGCAAGGCTGAGGTAGGAGGATCACAGTGAGTTTAAGGGCAGCCTGGCCATATAAGCAAGTTCAAGGTCAACCTGCACTACACAGAGAGGTGTCTCAAAACAACCACAAGAAAAACCAAAACACAAAATGTGTAAATAAAATTAAAAGAAAAAATTTAAAAACAGAACAGAAAATATAATTGTTATACAAATCCACTAGTTTACAAAATAATGAAATATAAGCCAGGTGTTGTGGCACATTCCTGTAATCTCAGTACTCTGGAGTTAGAAGCACAAGCAGTATTGTGAGTTTGAGGCCAGCCTGGACTACATAGTGAGGTTATGTAGCAGCCTGAACTACATAGTGAGACTCTGTCTCAAAAGAAAAAAAAAAAAAGGTAATATAACCCAGTTTTGCTAGTGCACCTGTAATTCCAGCACTTGGGAGGATGAGGCAGGAGAATTGTTATGAGTTTGAGACACGTCCGGGCTACAAAGTGAGTTCAAGGCCAGCCCGAACTGCTTAATGAGACCCTGTCTCAAAAAGACAAAAACAACCAAAAAAGTAATATAACTAGTAGCATATCTATGGATGAGTGGAAACATGAATAAAAATGACTTAAATGAATTTTAAAAAGAAACTTACCTAGAGATCTAATCCCTTTTTGTTCAAGAAAGTAATGCAAAACATTTGTGTCAATGCCTAATATGTGTCCTAATTCTGGCGTCAGCTTCCAGAAACCATCCTATGAAAATAATAAAAGAAATATACAACATGTTATTGGAATGTCACCATATAAGAAGAATGTTTTCAAAGGAAAGAAAAAAACTGGAATGAGGAAAAGGACAAAAGAAAAAGAGAAGTAAAAAATGATGTATTTATGTATATATACAGAGTAGTTGTATAATTATACTCTTGATTTCTGTTGTCTCCTAAAAGCAGCAGCAAATGCTCAAATTTCTTTTCTCGTCTTCCTTTTAATTTCTATTTTTTAAAATTTTGCTTATTTATTCATTTATGTGATTTATGTATTTGGTGTTTCAGAAGCCATTGATTCATTGCTTTCAGCTGTGTGATTCCCAATTTGTTCTGTGTTAGTGTCCTCTGCACTTGTTACGGGTGGGCTTGGATTCTGAGGTTGCATTTTGTTCCCTCTCGTCATTTTGTGTAGCACTGTCTTCTGACTTTTGTTGTAGATCTTCATTGTAATTATACCCTTAGCACGTACTGAAGTTCAGGTGCAGATCTACAAAGTCTGGATTTATCCAGCTGTGCCTGGCTTGGGTCTGGCTGCTGTGCTCAGCTCCTTCCCGCTGCTGCCCTTGAGGGTGAACCTGTTGTGCCCGTGGCAAGATGTTCTGCTCCTGGACTAGCTGGGTGATTCTATCCTCTACCCTCTCTGTAGGGATTGCAGCTGCAGGGTTACATGCCAGGCCTGAGCTGAGCCTGGAGGGGACAAGGTAGAGGAGGGGGGAGAGGCAGCTGTCCCACACACTCACTGGGTCTGGGCTAGGACTGGGTCTGGGTGTTCCCAGAATGTGGCAGAAATTCCTACTCGGTGGTCGGGGTTGGGGAGGTGCTGCGGAGTGGTGGGGGCGTCTCAAGGGAGTGGAAGATGGTCTTACCCACACTGTGCCTGGGCTGGGACCCGGAGTTGGTCCCACCGGTGCAGGGTAGCAGGAAGCTCTCCCACACACTCACCAGACCTGGGCTAGGACTGGGTCTCGTGATTGATTTATTTATTTGGTACAGGGTCTCACTACACAGCTAGGAATTATAGTGATCCTCCCTATTTTCAGCCTCCCCAATGCTGGGATTACAGGCATGCACCACCATGCCCGGACTTGGTTACTGGCTCAGCACGCCTGAGTAGAACTAAAGGTCAAACCCTGGTCCCTCAGCTTGCCTAAGCAAGCTCTTATTCTGCTGAGCTATCTCATGGGCCTTTCTTGTTTTTTCTTATAACTCTTTAAAAACCAGTTTTGCATGCTTATATCTGGTAATCTAAACTAACTTGAAAACAACATTATGCAATGCAACCATCATTGTCAAATTTCTATTATTTTGTTTATGGAAGTTCTGTATTGTTTCTAATATTTTCTTTTTTACTATTTTATATTTTCTTAAAAATTAAAAAAAGTTATGCAAAACATGTTTCTATTAACTTCAATCCAGTTAAGACAATTCTGAAATTTTTTTATCATAAAAATCAAAGTTCTTCTTGTACTAGAGACAAAGTATCATACAAAAAATCTGATAAATATACTATGGACACTAAGTACCAGGTATTATTTATGTCAAGTCTGGAATAAGCTCATGGGTGTATAGATTTATCAAAAGGACCCTATATATCCTATATAGTGTTGCCTTCTAGCAATGTTTTCAATCTATATTTATCAAACTTTTTTTTTTAAAGTATTTTGAAGGATTTGGGCTTTTTTTTTTTGGCTGGCTCAGGCTGTCTTTCTTTTTTTTTTTTATGGTCAGCTCAACCTACCCTGGGGGTGGGGCTGGCATCATGTGGTGCTGGGGATCAAACCGAGGTCCCTCCATGCTTGCCTAAGCTTGCCTAAGCAGGTGCTTTAGACCACTGAGCTATCTTACCAGCCCTCAGGCTGTCTTAAGGATGGGTCTGGTAAGGCATGTGGAGCTGGGGACTGAACCACGGTCCCCTGCGCCTGATTGGGTTTGCCCTAGCAGGTGCTTAAACAACTGAGCTAACCTGCAAGCCCTCTAAAGAGTTTTGAGACAGAGTCTCACTATGTAGTCCAGGCTGGCCTTGAACTCACTATTTGCCCAGCTAGTCTCAAACTAGAAATGATCCTTAATCCTCAGCCTCCCAACTGCTGGGATTATAGACATGTGCTACCGTGTATAGCTTTCAAACTTTTAAGCAGCATGATTCTTGCATAAAATACTTTATTGAAATACGATATACAAAGCTATAGGTATTTAACATGTACAACTTGATGTGGAGACTCCATCACACTCTTCTATCAATACTGTAAACTTATCTACACTTCCAAAACTTTCCTTACTGCCTCTTTTTTTCCCTGAGGAAAATGCATTATTTAATTATATGATCCACTGCCTAAAAAATGTAAATGGCACTGACAACTAAAGCCAGGGCCTTCACAATGAGTTACATCCTAAGCCCTTTTTCATTATCAGACAAGGTCTTGCTAAGTTGCAAAGTTCCCAGGCTAGGTTCAAACTTGTGATGTTTCTGCCTCAGCCTAATAAGTAAGAAGGAACTCAGACATGCTAGGAAAGTGCTCTGCTACTGAACTACACCATCAGCCCTCTCTTGAGCAAATTCTTTGTTTTTTTTTTCTTTTTGAGACAGAGTGTCACTATCTCACAATTTTCAGATTGTCCTCAAAGTTGCCTCAAGACAATCCTCCTGCCTCAGTGTTGGGACTAAAGTCATGTGCTACCTTGCCCAACTTTCAAACTTCAACAGCTTGATTCCTTCATAAAACACTTCACAGACATATGATTGTGATATGAACACTGGGAATACAGGTGCGCAATACCATATACCCTGAATGTGTTCTTTAAAACTACCTTCCTTTTACTCATGGGAAAGGGAATCTGTCTTCCCATCCCATGTGTATGATCAGAGTATGACAAACCTGTTGTATACCATGATTGTAAATGATCAGAGTTAAGTGGAGATAAGACAATACCTCGGTTTGCAGACTGAAGAGTGCAGCCCAGAGCACAGAGTTCCTCCGGGTGGACTGGTAGACTGCGCCATCCTCATCTTGTAATGGAGAGTTTGAAGCAAAGTTATACTGTACACTAAGTTTCTGCTTTTTTAAACATTTTCTTGCCAGAGCTTTCACTGATGTACCATCATGTTCTGTTTCAAACAAACTTTTTCCTCTTCTTTTCCCTGCCACATCTAAGCTTCCAAAACACAGGGCCTCAGGCACACAGCTCGGAAAATAACTTTGAACATGTGGCACTTTCTGATCTTCAAGGACAGAATATCTAACAGTGCCGTTATGACAACCTGATAGGGAAGAGTCCTCTTCAAGAAAATCTTCTGTCATACTGGAATGAGAACTCTGACTCTGGAGACCAAATAGTCCACTAGACCCTAAGCCTGCAGTGACATGGAGAGAAATAGGCACAGGAGGAGGGGAAGAGTCCAGCGTAGGGAAGACAGGAAAATTGTTGCTTTCAGGGCGTGCATAAAATTTGCAGGGATCAAACTGTGTGGAGCCCAGTGAGTCAGTCTGGAAAATACAACTACCGGAGAGGGGAGGTGGCACCGGAAGGGAGACTACAGGACCAGTGTCAAGTGCAAAGTCACTTGCAGGTGGAGGTGTACCAAGCTGTCTGAGAGGCACAGGAGAACTGAAAATCTGAGGACAAACACCAGGAGGAGAGAAGGAAACAGAAGGGGCGGCACCTATGAATGGAACAAAAGAAGGAGTAGAAGCATCCTTCTGCTTCAACCTGTCTGGCACTGGTTGTATTTTAGATTCTTCTTGTTCTGATAAATCCATTTGGGTCAAACTCAACAGACTTTCCACTTCTCCACTTTGAATCGGCAGTGCAACTGGCTGTTCCACCATTTGCAGACCTAAACTCATGTCTTCAAAATCTTCACAAATTTCCAACTTAGACAACCTCAGTCTTTTTTTAGCCAAACTTTTATGTTGCAGCCTTTTCTTCCTTTCAGAGGAAGGCGAAAGAAGCTGAGAAGAAGAAAAAGGAGAACAAAATGAACAAATAAGTAGACAGCCTTCCCAGCCTTGACCCCACCAGAAGAAGATCAGGTGGTCAACCCAGAGGTTGACTTCAGTCAGGCACAGGCACAGATGTTGAGCCGCTGCTCGAGACAGTGAGAGTTGTTGTATAAGTGAAACAACTTGATGCACAGATATGCAACCTGAGAACCAGGAGAGTATCAGCAATCAATATACAGAAAGATCTTTCATGGTATCAGAATCCCCAAGCTCTTTTTTTTTTTTTTTTTTTTTTGTGGAACCAGGGACTGAACTCAGGCCCTTTCACTTGCCAGGGAAGCGCTTACTCTCCTGAGCTATCTCCCCCGTTCCAGAATCCCCAAACTTTAAAACACTCTTCATTTTACACATGAGGACATAGGACCATGGAAGGGTCTTGCCCAGGATTTTACAATGAACAATAATTATAGCACGTAAATGACCCCTAAAATAAGCTGATAATTTGAAACAAATTACTGCAGTGAGTGTCTATATATTTTTTTTCCTGTGATGATGGGAATCAAACGAAGCGTCTCTCTTACATGTTGGGCAATTCAGTCTTTTATGTTGCTTTTATAGCAACGTTAATAATATCGAAAACAAAATTCAAAAGATTTAAAATAACAATATATCTTTTTATCAGAGTATGAACAATATGTAAAACAAAAGAGAATAAGAACAGCTGAATAATGTTGAGTCTAAAAGTAAATATTCCTTAAAAAGATTACATGTAAAGTAAGTTCAGTTTTATGAGGATGATTACTCCTTGAGATATTCTGGAAGTAGCCTCTAATTTTAACCATGTAAGGGAGG